GTGGTTTGCATCGACATCTTCTTTCTTTTCTTCTTTTTTTTTTTTTTTTATTTTTTTATTTTTTTTTTTTACATATTTTTTATTTTTTTCAAATAGATTAAGAGTTGGTTTTTTGGTTGAGCAATTTTCAGAGGAGGGTTATCTTGGTCATTTCAGGAGATAAAGGGGATAGTTCATGTGGAGACGACAAATAGAAAAAAGGGAAATTTATTAAAATATACTTAAAAATTGAACTATTTAACGTTTTAACTCAGTGTTTTAAAAAACGGTGAGTCAAACCGGACTCGCCCGGTTCAACTCGGGAACCGACACAGACTGTGCCAGCTCCAACACAAAACCGGGAACATACCGATTCTAAAGGAGGGTTATCTTGGTCAGTTCAAGAGATAAAGGGGATAGTTCATGTTGAGACGACAAATAGAAAAAAGGGAAATTTATTACAATATACTTAAAAATTGAACTATTTAACGTTTTAACCCAGTGCTTTAAAAAACGGCGAGTTAAACCAAACTCGCCCGGTTCGACTTGGGAATCGGCACAGACCGTGCCGGTTCCAACACAAAACCGAGAACCGCCCGGGTTCTAGAGTGGAACCGGCCGGTTTTAGAGTGGAACAGGCCGGTTCTAGAGTGGAACCGTCGGTTCCCATCCGGTTCATATATGTAACGCATGACACGCACGTGCGAGCGTGCCCCACACACACTCACATGTGCACACGTGTGTCCAAGCGCATGTGTTGAGGGTGCCCCACGCACACTCACACGTGCACACGTGTATCCAAGCGCACATGCGATCGTGCCCTCACGCACACTCACACGTGTGTCCAAGTGCACGTGCGTGCGTGCCCCACGCACGTGTTGAGGGTGCCCCACGCACACTCACACGTGCACACGTGTATCCAAGCGTACATGCGATCGTGCCCCCACGCACACTCACACGTGTGTCCAAGTGCACTTGCGAGCATGCCCCACGCACACTCACTTGCGTATATCCAAGCGCACGTATGAGGTTGCCTTAATATTTTTATACACATATTATAATTCATATTACATAGGTATTTATATACCAAAGTTGAATACCTATCTTTCGATGTGGGATAATTCCCAAACATCATTAAATGAAAACGAAATGTAAATATAGTCTATTAATCAGCAATTTATAATCACATGTAGTTAGATGGCTTGGTGGTTATGATTTTGGTTTTTTTACTTGAGGTCTCAAGGTCGAATCCCTTTAGGCATGTGTTGCATTTTTGTTGTGTCTATAGTGGTTGGTATAAATATAATTATTTTTGTTGTATTTGAATCCCCTTGGGCATGTATTGGATTTTTGTTGTATATATAGTGGTTGGTATAAATATAAATATTTTTGTTGTGTATATAGTGGTTGGTATAAATATAAATATTTTTGTAAATAATATAAAAGACATAAAAAAATGAAAAATAAAAAAATAATTTTTTATATAACAGTTATTTTTTTTTATATAGTGGTATAATTATTTTTGTAAATTATATGAAAGTTATAAAAAAAATAAAAATAAAAAGTTTATTCTATTTGAAATCTCCATCTTTCTACTAACAATCTCTTTTACTAAATTTATTATAGAAACCTAAAAAATTAAATTTTTGAAAAATTGAAGTGTTATTTTCAAAATTTGTACGCATTTTATTAATTTTTACATTGATAACCAAATATTTTATTTTATTTATGAATTTTTACATTATAAATCATGTATTGTACTATTTTTCTTACATTTGTCAAAAATACATTTTAAATTAGATAATATTATAAAATATTTTTAATTTGTTATTATTTGTCTAATAAAATAATTATAAAATGTAAACTAATAATTATAAATTCAGTATATAATATTATAATTAGTGAGGTTGTAATAATTTTGGATTATAGTTAGTTAGGCTGTAATAGTTTGGGTTTTTTTAGCGGGTTAGGGTTTTTCGCCAAAACGAGATTTTAATGGCCATTGTTTCATTGATTAGTCCACTCTTTATAATAGTCCATATATAATTATATATTTTATCCATGATAATTCTATGATTTTTCTTTTATGTGATCC